GTGTGGATTCACCTGCCTGGTGCTGTTCTCCTGCCTTCCCCACCCTGCCACCCATCCTTCCTTTCCTTTGGCCACAGACCAACCCAATCCTGCTCTCCTCTGGTGCCAAAACAACCACAGTGCCACAGGGGACAGTCCCTGCTCACAGGGGACAGCTGGAGATGGAGCAGAGTTCAAGTCTACTCTGTTCTCCTCATGAAAAGCCCAGACAGGTTTTTCTGCTTTCACAAGAACGTCCCCAGGAGATGCCAAATCCTCCAGCATGACAGAAAACTTGTGTGGCTGCTTGTCCTGCACCAGGGGGTGCAGTCAGACACTCCCTGCTTCAGGGTGACAAGGGGTGTCTAGGATAAACACCCTTGCTTTCAGTCCAGCTGCACATTCCCCTCTCTGGCAATGCCTTGTTCCTAGGGCACAGGATGCAAAAGCCAAACAAACCAAAACCTCTCCACCATTGAGTCCCAACAGCAGCTGCCCAGGACTGCAGAAATTTCCTGAGGGGTTGATGACACTTTGGTGGGGCAGCTCAGCAGATGCCTTTCCTCAGCACCCCACTGCAAGTCCCTGCCTTCACCCCCTCGCTGCAGCCTCCTCTGCCTCACCCCAGGCTCCCATGGACCTTCACAGGGTTCATGCAAGAGCCTGAGTCCTCTGCCTGCGTTCAGCCACGGTGGGAACTCCAAGGGGTCAGGAGCCCTTTCCCTGCCTGAACTCCCTCCCAAAAACTGCCAGGTGACCCCAGTCCCTGGAAGTGCCTCGTGCCACCAGCAGCCAGGGACCCTCCCTCACCAGCCCTGCCCAGGGTGGGGTTGGTGGAGCAGTCCCAGCAACATTTTTGTGCTGCTGTGGAGCCATGGGTGGGCTGGGCAGGAACAGGAGCAGGAGGAGAGAGCCTGGGCAGGAGGAGAGAGCCTGGGCAGGAGCAGCAGAGCCTGGGCAGGAGCAGCAGAGCCCGGGCAGGTCCCTCCAAGTGCAGCCAGCTCACAAGGATCAGCAACCATTGCACAGTTTGATTCTGGGTCTGCTCTCGTCCAACCCCTCCAGCTCAGAGGGGACATTTTGGCTGGTGTGACTCAGCCTAGGGTGACACCAAAGCAAAGCCATCAGTGAGCAGAGCCTTGTGGTAGGAAACAGGGTGGCCCAGGCACCAGTGGCCTCTCAGGGGTCTTGGGGTGGCCAGCCCTGCTGCCTCCCCAGCCCCCAGGGCAAGGGGTACAAGTCACTTATGCACAGCAGGGAAGCCCCATGGCAGTGTTTTTAAGCCTACTTTTGATGGATTTAGTGCTTCTCTAATGGAAATTACTGAGACAAAAGGAATTGCTGTTCCATCCCAACAGCAACAGTTGCATGTTTTCCACGTAACTGTACTTACAGGTTTGCAGTAGAGACAAGCTGACAATTAAGTCTGCAGATCAAGAATTATTGGTTTTAAAGCAATCCAAATTAAGCTGCTGTTATTTCCTAAGTGTTATCTTCACGTGGTAAGTACTAGGATTAGCACACGGTCACTGAGCTTCCTTTGCTAAGCCCATCTAATGAGACAATGAAGAGACGCACAAGACAAAAATAAGAGGGGGGAAAAGAGACAAAAAGAAAGAGAAAGAAATGAGGAATATAAGGAAAAAAATACCAAGCCCACCCAAGCATCATCCACTGAGTGATCTGAGAGAGATGCTCGAGTTTCCAGTACTGCTCAGTAATACCAGGGATAAACCCAAACCTTCCACCCCAGGGAATTACTCCAGAGAGTAACCTATGGAGCAGACAGCGAGTAAATCCTCCCACAGCCAACAGACACCTAAAAGAGCCAAATTTGCATGATTTCTATGGAATACTGAGAGCTCAGAGCTCTCCCTCTCAGGAGCCAGCAATGTCCCACCCTGCAGCAGGATTCCTCCCTGCTGAGTTTTCCAGGAGGTGGGAGCAGCTCTCCTGGTACCAGAACCGCGACACGAGACACGACCCTGGACCCTGTGCTGGGAGGGTCCTGGGGGGCTGCCCAGGCTGGGGGAAGAAAAACCCCCCAGGGTTACATGATGCTGCAACAGGCAGTGCCAGGACACCCCAAAATACAAAGACACCCTGAAACAGAAGGAAGGAATAAAGCCAAAGGGCTCGTGCTGCTTGGGAAAAGAGGAATTGTCTGTTTTGCAAAGCAAACTGCACGTCCTCAGGATGATGGACACGAGGCCTTTGCAGACCCGGCCTTCAGGGAGGTGTCTCTGGAACAAACCCCAGCCCAGCTGGGGATGTGGCACAGCACGTATCGCTGGCAATCAGCTGAGGGCCTCAGACGTTTGAGTCATTCCAAACAACTCTTTAATGCCATTCAGGAACAAAACCCCACGCACGCACGCAACGCTGCTCGTGCTTCAAGAGTGAGGCAATGGGTGCTGAGGCTCCTGCCCTGCCTGCCTGTCACTGACACCCCCACGCAGCCCCACGACAGGGGCAGGACCAGGACCCAAACACAGACTGAAATGTCAGGGCACCCCTTTTCTGCAGGTTGTTAGAAAAACGGCAGCCCAAGCGAGGTGCTGGAGGGGGGGGATCTTCCCACCAGGCACCAACGCCATGGAATTACCTCTGGAACTTGCAAAACTTAAAGCTACTTCAACTGTTTTGCATTTTTGATCATCAAACCCCTCCTTGTGCTCCTGTGCAACATGCTCCCCAAACCAATAGTCCCTTTTGCAGTATCACAGTTGGAAAAAGACCTCCAAGGTCACTGAGTTCTCCCTGACCTTAAGGCTCATGGTGTTACAACACAGTCTGTAATCGAAACCCTTCATTAGCAACAGTAACTAATGATTATGCTGTAGTAATAGAGGAAGCAGCAGCTCACCTGGAATAGCAGGACAGGCTGGTGCTGACAACGGTGTTGAACACAGCCACAGGGACATAGCAGTGGTGGAAGGTGCTGCCCACCCATTCTGCTGGGAAGACGTAAGCCGAGTACGCCAGCGCAGACCCTGGGGACACAGGAGGTGCCAGCTCAGGGCCAGGTCCTGCAGGACCCTCAGAGTCCTCCCAGGATCCTGCAGAGCTCCGAGGACCATCATGCTATGCCCAGTCCCTGCAAACCTTTCCCTGAGGAGCTGGAGGTACATGGTGCCATGGGAAGACCCTGGCTGTTGCTGCTGCTGCCCCGAGGTGCCACCAGCTTCACCCACAGCATTTGCCTCTAACTGCTTGTTTTTTTCTTATTCTATTGACTGCAAACACCAAAGAGCCTCACACAGCCAGGCCTCCATCCCAGGGCTGCCTGCTATGAAACCCACCTCCAAATTATTAATTGTAGGGGTATCAGAGATGCTTCATGGTCCTCCCCACCAAGCACCAGGGAGGAGGAGAAACTACCCCCCAAGCAGCCGCCACTTCTGCTTGTCCCGTGGGCTTGAGCTGTCTGAGCACCCAGGCTCCAGCTCCATCCCTGATGTCCCCCTGGAGTTCAGCTCCATCCCTGAGGCCCCCCAGGGCTCCAGCTCCTGGTGTCCCCAGGGAAGCCCCCGCTGACCCACCCGCCCTCACCCAGGCTGTACATGCTGAGCGCCGCGTAGTCGAAGAAGTAGCAGATGTGGCGGGCGCGGGTGGACATGGTGCTGAAGGTGTGGGCACAGCTGGAGGCCAGGGGGTAGATGCAGCAGGTCAGCAGGTAGGCGAGGAGGGGCCAGGAGTGGGGGTCCTCCTGGCCCCACGGCCCCTGCAGCCGCCCCACCAGGGTCCACACAAAGTACCTGGGAGGGTAGGAAGGTGAGCACGATACAATCACTGAGGTTGGAAAAGACCTCTAAGATCGTCGAGTCCAACTGTCAACCCAACACCACTGTGACCACTAAACCACGTCCCTCAGCACCACTTCTACATGGTTTTTTAATACCCCCAGGGATGGTGACTCCACCCCTGCCCCAGGCAGCCTGTTCCAATGCTTGATCACTCAAGAGTGAAGACACTCTTGGGTGTCCCCCCCAATCTCTGCTCCCACCTCAGAGACCCACCACCTCCTCCCACGGATGCTGAAGGCCCAGGACATGGTACCTACCAGGCAGGCACAAAATGTGTCCAGATATTTAGGGTCTCATTTGTCATTTGGAAGACACTGAGAAGGCAGTCAGCTGCTGAGCTCCTTGGGGGGCGATACCCAAAGAGGATCCCCTGCTCCTGGTACCCCTGCAAGGCAAGGACCAGCACCAGTGGCAGTTGGAGGAGAAGGGAAGAAGGTTGCCCAAAGGACAATGCCCATCATTCAGGACCCAGAACCCCACTGTGAGAGCAGAGCTGTGTCCCACCATGGGTGAGGGTTTGAGGGGAGGGGGCTGAGCACTCTCCCAGGGGTAAGATTGGCCACCCCAGCACGCTGCTGCCACCCTGTCACCTCCCAAAATCCCACCAAGAAAAGTTCCTCTCTGACCTTAGGCACTTGGTTGATGCTGAGCAGCCGGGGTAACTTCAGGCTCAGCATGGTGCAGGTCTGGGCTCCGCGTGGATGTTTTCCTCCAAGGGATGTTTCTGGCTCAGCTTCCCTGGGGACCAGCCCTGAGGGTGCCTCACACCCCCCCTGGCTGCATCTCACACCCCACTGGGGACGTGGTGGGATGAGGCCACCCTGGGATGGGTGAAGCAAAGCTGCCCAGGGTCAGGACAGGTGGCCTGTGGGAGAGGAGTGCTCATGGGGACGTGTCACCATGCAGGGTCCCACACCCACACGTGGCAAACGCTTCCTGGGGGGGTTCCTGTGGCATGGGGAGGGGAGAAAGCACCCATCCCTACCCCTGCACCCAAAGGGATGGCAGAGAAGGACAGGATGTCCCTGTGCCCTCCACCCAGAGGGACGGAACCCTCCATTATCACCCCAGGAGAGCCAGGGGTGACAGGGGAACAGCACCCACATCCCTGGAGCACCTCGAGTTCACACAGAAAGCCCTGGGACGGGCTGGGGGTGCAGGCAGGGCCCCTGGGGAAGCAGGGAGGACACCCAGGCTGGTTCCCTCTGGACATTTCCCCCACCAAGCAGCCCACGCTGCAGCCCCCAGCCCCAGCATCTCCATCTCTTACCCACTGGTGGCTGCAGCTTCACCTCTCCCCCCTCCTCCTCCAGGCTGTGAAATAAAGGTGGGAAAAAAAATTATCTCCTGCAAGGACCCACCTGTCCTGGGGGGGGGAAGCTGGGGGAGAAGGGAACCAGAGGCTTCTGGTGGTGGGATCAGCCTCCTGGGAGCTGCTCCTGGGATGGTGTTCCAGCTGGCCTCACCGTCCCCTAACGTCACACCAGCACTGGAAGTGTTGCTGGGACTTCCCAGTCCCAAATATCCTGCCCCTGGCACTACCCTTCACCTTCCCCTGCTCTTCCTCCCCACCACACTCCCCCCCCCCCTGCTGCCAAGCAGCTCTGGTGCCAACAGCAGCTGGGGAGGGGGACGTGGCTGGGAGGTGGTTACCAGGAAGGAAAAAATTAACAAGGCAAGAGAGCAATAAACCCCACACAAAATAAAATTAGAAATGCCTTTAGTTAAAGATTACACTTCAATCAGGAGCCTTTTTTTTTTTTTTTTGG